AGGCGCTGGTGGGGGTACAGGGGGCAGGGGGGATTGTCGGGGCGAGAAGCGGAGAAGCTCAGGGCAGCAGGACAAGGGGAGCGGAGGGGTCCCCGAGAACCTGGGCCCTTGGATGGAGAGGGGGATGAAGGAGGCCAGGTTTGGAACAAACAGGGACAGGGGAGGCGGGCTATGAGGAGGGGCGCCGGGGAGAAGTGAGCTGAGGCGCAAAAGGAGAGTGTGTGTTTGGGGGAAGGGAAGGCAGAGCAGGTATGGAGGCCGCAGCTCAGGAGGTATCTGTGGGGTCAGACTGGAGACCCCCGGGTGGGCTGGAGGGGCAGGACTGGGAGCGGGAAGCGGGGGGGTTCTCCCAAATCCTGGGGAAGGAAGATGATGGGACCAACAGCTAGGGAAGAAGGGGGCACCATTGCTGAGGGGCCCGGAAGCTGGAATAGGGTGGACGGAGGCCCAAGCCAGGACCAGAGAGGGGATGCCAGGGAGTGAAAATAGATGGATGGGTGGAATTTGAAATGCCTGGTTCAGTGCCCCCACCTTCCCTTCAGCACCCCCGCCCTGCCCTTGTGACCCCCCACCAAGCCTCAGGGTCTGAGAAGGGGTGACAAGGCTGAGGCTCCCCATTCTCCAGTGGGGTGCAATGTACGCAAGTAGGCCCTAGGCATAACTCCTTGTCTGTAGGTGTGTCCGGTTCTGTGGCAGATTTGTATGTGTCTGGAGGTCCTTGTGAGCCTGTGGGTGTGTCGGTTGGTGTTTACGTCTGTGTGTGTCTGCTGCTTCTAGGTGTGCATTCACCTCTGTCCACCTGTGTGTCTGGTCCTTGTAGATCCAGGCTGAATGTGTGTTTGTGGGGCTCGTCTGGATGGTAGATCAGGCTGTATTTACACAGGATGAGAATCTGTCTGATCTCTCCAGCGTGTGTACGTGTGGCTCAGAACACCTTTGTCAGGGTGTGTGACTGTGTACAGGTGTCTGTGTCTGTCTGTCTGGGGGTCCTAGAAGTGGCTGGGTTTTCTGTACCTGTCTGTTTTCTCTTGAGGACCCAAGTCATGTCTCTGCTCCTTTTTCTCTCTTTCATTTGTTCCTGGTCACCACCCACCCCATGTCTTCCTTTTCTTCTCACTTGACCCCTATCAAGTGGATCCGGGACCCAGGGAGGGCCGCCCCCCGGGTCTGGTGGCACTGAGCAGGGCCCCCCAGCCCCCACCTCCTGCCCCACGACATGAACCTCCTCTACCGAAAAACCAAGCTGGAGTGGAGACAGCACAAGGAAGAGGAGACCAAGAGGAGGTAAGACTGGGGCCCCAGACTCACCCCTGTGTCTGTCTCACCTGTGTGGGAGCCTCTTGCTGGGTCACAGCCCCTAGTCGTTAGTGGTTTCTCTGATCTCAGACTGTGCTCAGGGCAGAATGCCCGGGGTTGTGACACCTGGTTGACCCTTATCCTGGCTGCCCAGGGGGCTTCCAGCTCTGGAGCACCAGGTTGACTCTTCCCTATCCCCAGGGCCCGAGTCACACCTTCCTGACTCACCTCCAGCCTGTGGCCTTCTTTTTGTCATTGTGGGGCAGGTTACAGGCTCCTTATCACCTGACCTTGGAAGGGGCAGGCTCCACCTGCCTTTGCAGGGTCTGGGGACGGGGTCATTTCAGAGGCCTCAAAGAACATCCACATGGTCCTCCCCCATCCTCCTCTGTTGGGGAGGTGAGTCTTCAAGTGACAAAGCTGTGTATTGAGATGGGGGATATGCAGAAGACCCAGGGCCAGGGGACCCCATTGCCCCCAGACCTGCACCCCTGCTAGCCCTTTCTCTTTGCCCACCAAGGGCCACAGGCTGGGCCTCTCTCATCCCGCATCCTTCTCCTCTTTACTTCCCATTGACTGTACAGCCTCCTAGAGCCTGAGTCAGAACCACCTCCCTGCCCCCTTCTCCCTCCTCTCAACTGTGGAGTTTAATTCTTGTTGTTAATTAGATTAATCAGAGCGATCGCTGCAGTGATCTCTCCCTAATGAAGGGTTAGTAGACAGGGCCTTAATGAGCGCCCACCCCACGGCAGCTCTCCCCTATTCCCTGCCAGCTGCCCCCCCAACTCACCCAGGAGCCCAGGGACAGTGAAAAGGAGTGGGGTGAGCTGAGGAGGACAGCAGAGGGAGAGGGAGGAAGGGAGGAAAAAGGATCAGCGGGGGGAGCTGCTGTGCTGATGTAGGCAACACACCCCACATCTGGGACAGGATCTGTGTGGGGGCGGAGGCCACAGTAGCCAGACATGAGGGGAAGCCGGAGGCCAGGCGTGGGTCAGTGTGAATAAGAAGAGCCAGGAGCCATGGTAGCCGCTGTAGCTGTCTTTCAGGCAGGCTGTTCCCTACACCGGTGCTGGATATGCCCAGGCTGGGAACTGCCAGCCCTAGAGAAACTCCCTGGCACACATATACCCCCTCTTCTCATTTCTGCTACTCACCTTCTGCCTGACCTTTTCTAAGCCTGGGGATTCTGCCTCAAGCCCCAACATCCCTGCCTCAGAACATCGAGTGTCCCCGTCCCCATTCCAGGCTTCCTGCCTCCTTCCTAGGAGGCACGGGGTTCCCAGCACCTGTTGGGGTGGAGGTGGGGAGGCCCAGGCCTGAGATTTGACCTCTGTTCCATCTGGGTCTTCTTTCTCCAGCTCCAGTAAAGAGGTGACCCCGGCAGGCCCTACGGGGCCTGGGGCGGGCCCAGGGCCTGGGGTCCGTGTGCGGGACATCACCTCCCTGCGCCGCTCCCTCAGGATGGGCTTCATGACGATGCCCGCCTCCCAGGAGCACACGCCCCACCCCTGCCGCAGCGCCATGGCCCCACGCTCCCTCTCCTGCCACTCTGTGGGCAGCATGGACAGTGTGGGGGGTGGGCCTGGGGGTAGTGGTGGGGGTCTCACAGAGGACAGCAGCACCCGAAGACCCCCAGCCAAGCCTCGGAGACATCCCAGCACCAAGCTCAGCATGGCAGGATCAGGAGCAGAGACACCCCCCAGCAAAAAAGCAGGTGAGACACCCATCATCCCTCTGGATGGGGAGCTGGGAGGATCCATTCCAGACCAGGGGAGGCCTCTGGGAGGGTTCATTCAGGGAAGAACCAAGGAAGTGGAACGTTCCATTCCCAAAAGGAATGGGGGGGTCCTTTTGGATGAACCTGAGATGAACCATTCAAAGGCAGGGGACCCTCCTCCCTGAAAGTTCATTCTTGAAAAAGCGGTCATGGCCTTGGAGGGACCCAAGGTTAGGAAAGAACTGAGGACAGGAGCTGCAGCTTCTATAGAGTGTATCAGAAAGACTGGTAGAAAAAAGAATCTCCCAGTGCTGTAGGTTTAGGGCTGTGGGGAAAATGAAGAGGCAGCTATGTCCTTGCGGGGGTCAAGAGGTCAGAAAGGTTTGCCTCCATCTACTTTCCCCATTAAAAGCCCAATTTATTGTTCTCCTCTCCATCCCACACAGGCTCACAGAAACCCACCCCAGAAGGTCGCGAATCCAGCCGGAAGGTCCCTCCACAGAAGCCCAGGAGAAGCCCCAACACCCAGCTGTCTGTCTCCTTTGAAGAGTCCTGCCCCCAGGCACCCTCTCCTCGAGGGGGGAACCTGCCTCCGCAGCGCCTGAGTAGGGGTTCCAGAATAGCTGGGGACCCTGATGTGGGTGCTCAGGAAGAAGAGCCTGTGTACATTGAGATGGTGGGGGACGTCTTCAGGGGAGGAGGACGAAGCGGAGCCGGACCCCCTCTTGGGGGTGGGGGCCCAACCCCCCCAGCTGGTGCCGACTCGGACTCCGAAGAGAGTGAGGCCATCTATGAAGAGATGAAGTACCCGCTGCCAGAAGAAGCAGGGGAAGGCTGGGTCACTGGGGCCACCCCATTGACAGCAACCTCTCCTCCACACCAGCTTCACGCCCTTCAGCCCCATGGCCAACGCCGCCCAGCTTCAGCCCTCCCGAGCCGGAGGGATGGGACACCCACCAAGACTACCCCTTGTGAAATCCCCCCACCTTTCCCTAACCTCCTTCAGCACCGTCCTCCTCTCCTGGCCTTCCCCCAAGCCAAGTCTGCTTCCCGAACCCCTGGCGATGGTGTCTCGAGGCTACCGGTCCTCTGCCACTCCAAGGAGCCCACAGGTTCCACCCCAGCTCCCCAAGTGCCTGCAAGAGAGCGGGAGACGCCACCCCCGCCACCTCCGCCTCCTGCTGCCAACCTGCTGCTGCTGGGACCATCGGGCCGAGCCCGGAGCCACTCGACACCGTTGCCACCCCAGGGCTCTGGCCAGCCCCGGGGGGAACGGGAGCTCCCCAACTCCCACAGCATGATCTGCCCCAAGGCAGTGGGGGCGCCGGCAGCCCCCTCTGCTCCAGCTGCCTTGCTCCCCGGCCCCCCCAAGGACAAGGCTGTGTCTTACACCATGGTGTACTCGGCAGTCAAGGTGACCACGCACTCCGTCCTCCCAGCTGGCCCACCTCTAGGTGTTGGGGAGCCGAAGACAGAGAAGGAGATCTCAGTTCTCCATGGCATGCTATGCGCCAGCTCGAGGCCCCCTGTGCCAGGGAAGGCCAGCCCCCATAGTGGGGCCATGGGCACAGCAGCTGGGGTCCTCCACCACCGCAGCTGCCTGGCCTCCCCCCACGGCCTTCCGGACCCAACTGCAGGCCCCTTGGCCCCCCTCTGGACCTACCCAGCCACAGCAGCTGGGCTCAAGAGACCCCCTGCCTATGAGAGCCTCAAGGCCGGGGGGGTGCTGAGTAAGGGCTGTGGAGTGGGGGCCCCATCCCCCATGGTCAAGATCCAGCTGCAAGAACAAGGGACCGATGGAGGTGCTTTTGCCAGCATCTCATGCGCCCACGTCATCGCCAGTGCAGGGACACCAGAAGAGGAAGAAGAGGAGATGGGGGCCACGACATTTGGGGCAGGCTGGGCTCTGCAGAGGAAGGTCCTATACGGAGGGAGGAAGGCACAGGACCTGGACAGTGAGTGAGGGGTGGGGCTGGGGGCGTGGAGGATGCTGGGGATGGTCTGGGGGAGATGCTGGAGTGATTAGAAGCCACAGCCCATTGTCCTAAACTGAGAAGTTTTCTGGGAGACCAGATGGGTGGAGGAGGGCAGCAGGTGGAGGGATGGGGTCCTGGTGTGTATGTTGAAGGGCCAGGAAGATGGGGGATAGGGACTTTGAATGAGGCCTGTCCTGCTCCACTCCCTGCCCCTCCCTCCCCTGGGCTGCAGGGGTGTGTGTTTATGAGTGTGCGCATACTAGGAGCTAAACACAGCTGCCTCCCAGCTATTACCATGGCAACCCATCCAGACTGGAGGGAGAGGAGAGGGAGGCCCCTACTGTTGCTTGGCAACACAATGCTCTGCCAGGCCTACTCTCAGAGATGAGCTTAGTTCACAGGCAGCCCTTCCCCCGGTGGCCCCCCCTTTCTGGGCTCAGGATTTGGGATGCTCTCCCTACTGGGAACAGTCCTCCTGATCTCCAGGAGGTCATTGTGTTGGGCTAGAGGGGCACAGAAGCTAAAGCTAGGGTTGGTGCGGTCACTGACCAGGGAAAAGGGATTTGGAACCAACAAATGTATATGACTCCTTCCCGGGGGATGGTAGCAACGGGTGGAAGGAAGGTGGCCTGCCACACTGTGTTCCTCCTGCATTGCAGAAAGAGACATGGCTGTGATTGGCAAAAGGGTCATCCATGCTGAATTGTGTGTCACCGGAGGAGTGGAAAGTCCCCTTCCCCATCCAGGCACTGAGCTCTCCTTGTCATCCCAGCAGAGGTCGAGGACGGTGTCCGGGCTTGGAATGGCAGTTCCCAGGTTCCAGGCAAGCTGGAGCGTGAGGACAGGGGCCCTGTGGCATCAGGGATCCCAGTAAGGAGCCAGGGGGCAGAGGGCTTGCTGGCCAGGATCCACCATGATCGAGGAGGGAGCCGCACCGCGCTGCCCATACCCTGCCAGACCTTCCCTGCCTGCCACCGCAATGGAGGTGACACCCTGCCCATATGCATCCTATGGATGGGGTGGGCTGGGGGTGTCTCCCAGGGTCCAGCCGGGCCTATCCTGATGGCTATCAGCATCCATGTTGGGGACCCTAAATCATACCATGCCTCCATCTCCTGTCCTCTGTTGAGGTGTGGGGCAGGCTGGCCTTGGACTCCTCCGGGAACTGGGGACTCTGCTTATCCCTGGTTCTTCTACTGCAGACTTCATGGGAGGCTACCGCCTGGGGCGCTCAGCCTCCACCTCCGGAGTCCGGCAGGCTGCGCTGCACACCCCCCGGCCTTGCAGCCAGCCTAGGGATGCTCTGAGCCAGGTGAGGTGTGGGTTTTCTTTTATCTGTGAAGGAGCAGGTAAGGCTTAGGTATAGAAAGGCAGGAAAGGGCTCAGGCAGGCTGGAGCTGGACTCCATATGGTTGGCACAGCCTGATGGGGACCGAGGGAAACTCAGGGTGAGGGGGCTGAGAAGGCTTCCAGGATGGGCCTGTTTAAAATGGGCAGAGAAGGCCAGGCATGGTGGCACACTCCTGTAATACCAGCACTCGGGAGGCTGAGGCAGGAGGATCGCTGTGAGTTTGAGACCAGCCTGGGCTACATAGTGAGTTCCAGGTCAGTTTCAACTACATAGTGAGACCCTGTCTTAAAAATAAATAAATAAATAAAAATTAAAATAAAATGGGCAGAGGAAGCTAGGTGTGGGTAAGCAGGCCTGTAATCCCAGTAGTCTGGGAGGCTGAGGCAGTAGGATCACAAGTTAGAGCCAGCTGGGACAACTGATTGAGACCTGGTCAAAAGCAGGGGGAGATTTAGCTCAGTGGTTCTGCTGCCTGCCTCACAAGCATGAGGTCCCAAGTAAGATCCCCGGTACCAAAAACAAAACAAAACAAAACAAAAAAAGGAAGGAAGAGATTGGTTGGGTGGTGCCTATAATCCCAGCACTCAGGAGGCTCAGGCAGGAGGATCACTGCAAATATGAGGCCAGCCTACCCACATAGTGAGTTCAAGGCCAGTCTGAACTAACAGGATAAGATCTCTCCCCACAAAAAAAAATTTTTTTAAAGAAATGGCTGGGGATACAGCCAAGGTCCTGGCTCAGTATGAAACAGACATGGGAGGAAGGAGGGAGTCGGGAACGGAGGCCGGGCTTGGAGATCAGTTAAGGCCACTGCTAGCCAACAGTGTACCTTGGGACCACTTAGAGAAAAAGACTCCTTAGGGGACCACTTAGAAAAACGCATGTCGGTGAAGATGATTTTTAATCATCTTGTTGCCCTTCTTCAGGGCAAGACAGGCCCAGCCAGGTAGTGGGTGCTCTGATGGGCCAGGGATGCAAGGTGCTCCGTCCCTACCCACAGCCAAGGACTCCATAAGGTCTTGTTTCTGAGCGAAGATGCTAGCTTGGCCTGAGGTCTTTGACCCCTCATCTTTCCCTGTCTCCAGACCC